TGCAGTGGAATCCAGTCTATCCAACTTGAGGGAAAGGCTAATAATACTTCACTTCAAAGGGTTTGGTTTCATGTATGCCAGATGCTAACTTTCATAGGTGGCATTTTTGTCAATTCTCCAATTTTACCTTTACTCTGCTTTCTCTCAAAAACTACACAGTAAGGACCCTGACATTAAGATAATAGTCACTGGTAATGTCCAGTCATAATTTATCACTGTGGAATTGCATAGCTTCTCCCATAGTTCTGCTTTCTGAGTTAAGGCCCTGTGATCCATCACATACCTTTTGGAATGGCTGTCATCCCAAAGAGGCTCTGAAGTAGTTCATCTTTAGCCTGAGTTCTCCTAACTGCTGTGCAAATTTGGACTTGGTAGCTGTAACTGAGACCCGAACATTCATCAGAGTTGCATCCTTTTTTGTTTCTGGCCACAAGATCCTCTTAATCCATCTGATTAAAATGCTCAGTACAATTGAAAAACAGAGTGAAGCTGTCCTTACTTTGAGAATGAAGATCATTTGTTAAAGAGCACGGTGCTTTGCTTGAATGAATCTGAAATGACAAGCCACCTGAGGGAGGGTGAAAGTTTAAAGGAAGTTCTCAACCTGACTGCAGCTGTATTTTGGCTCTCTGTTCCTCCCCCCCACCCCCTTATTCTCAGATGCAGGGTGGAGGTGAGTGAAGAATGGTTTGGCCGTCTGAAGCTTAGTATTCTATGCTCATTCAATACATGCAGCACAGCAATCAGTTTTACCTCATTTCTGGGATTTTTTTGGTGATTCCTAAGGAGCAGTTGGAATTATTACCCCCTTCTTTCCTTAGGAATGAATAAACCCCGGAAAAAAAGACATAATTATTCACGGATGAGTCTTAATACCTTTAAACTGGTGTTCATTCTCTCCTTCTCTTCCTCCCCCACCTCATTTATGAGCAATTGGGTGGTAGTAATTAACAATCTTAGAGAGAAACATCTGCTAGTACACTTAAGCCAGTCAGTTTGTTTTTCATGAAAGAATGGTATTTCACAATTTTTCCAAGTTAATATTTTTCCTTTATTGTCTTTCCAATTTCAAATATTGTCCAGACGCATTTTTATAGTGTCTTAAGGTTATAGAAGTGAATACAAGACCATTAATAATGAACAAGAAAAGAGAACATCGTAAAGAAAACATATGCAGTATTTCAATTCATGAAACATTCTGTTAGGGAACATTGTTTTTGAGAGCATATGGTTATTCCCATGAGAAGCAATAAATATATTTTTTTTTACTTTTTTTTTTTCCCCCCCTCCAGTTGTGGATTCCCACAACAAGGGTAGGTTTCTCTGTATATTCATATATAGAGAGCATTTTCTTTGTCAGGACTTGTTATCTGAGTTGGGAGGTAAGTAAGTATTTTTGCACAGATGATATATTGTACGTGGACCTATTTCTGATGGCCTAGACTTTGGAAACACAAGTCTATTAATTCTCCACACTTCTTTGAGATAGCAATCTTGTCTGGTCTAGTTTAGTATCATTGGCAGAGCTGAAAGGAAGTTCACATTGTGAATATATCTGAACCTTGGCATGTGGCTCACTGGTAGATCTCTGTTTACAGGCTGCCAGTTTTAACTGTCCCAAGCAGACATGCTCATTTTATTTATAAGTAGGTTCAGCATGTATTTGTATCCTTCATGAAATTGAGCGCATATCAATAGTCAAAACTAAGTATAGAAACAAGATACCAAACACTTACCCTTCTCTTCTCAGACAAAACAGTCGTACTCCAGTATGTATTTTTAAATGTTCATTGGGTTTGGATAAGGCGCACAAGGATATATGCACAGACACATTATTTGATCACTCGCAAATATTATTTTAATACCTCCATATTCCCCTTTAAAGTTTCCTCGTTTAGATTTCATTTTGCTTTGCTGAATGAAACTTGACATCAGGATGAGATCACCAGATTTCCCCATTTCATCTGAGCTCCAAAATGAGTAACTGATTTCAAAGGATAATTCCCTGGAGCAGCAAAGCCAATGAGTTCTTCAGATCAAAGGTCAGCGAAGCTTAAAGAGGATAATTTCTGGCATACAGTATTTAAACTCTCTCAAGGAGTGTACTGCAAGATGTATCCCCTCCTTCTCCAATAGATGAACCCTTGTTTTTTGAGAAGACTAATTTGTCAGAGCACATTTTTTCCTCTGTTACATAAATTATACATTAAAGTGAAAACTTCCTATCTGAACACAGACACTGTGCATCCAGAAAGGTTACTAAACATGCCAGTGGAAGTGCTGTTCCTGAAACCAGAAGGTAACTCTGTGCTGTTCCTCTCTGAAGCACACTGTGGACTGGGGAACTCTGGTGCTCTTTGCACACGCCAGCAGCTTTCAGCACAGTGCAAAAGCGTGGTGGTGGAAGGGAGAGAATGCTCTGTAAGACACCTCATTTTGACGGAAAAACCCAACAAAGAGTATTGGGGCAGGGAATAGTCACTGTGTGCTGGATCTGCTCCTCAGTGCTCTCAGCCTAATGTTTTTTGCCATGCCGATGTCATTTGGGATGCTATCCCTTAACAGACAAAAGACCACTGTAGAAGGCTTTCGGCCATTATGTACCTTTATACATTTAAAAGTATGTGTGATAACAGGGGTGGATTTTTTTTTTCAGTTGGTTGTCCACTGTTCCAATGAAGCTAGGGGTCATACCAGCCCAGCTTTCATTTATTTCACATTCCCTAGAGTGAGATTGTGAGGGATTGCAAAAGCCCCTCATGCAAATGATTCTACCAAGCTTAGAACCATTCGAACCATTCGAACCATTCGTGTGAGAAACAATCACTGGTACACAGGAGCCACTGAAAATCAAGGGGCATATTTGATAGTTATGAAGAACCACTGTCAATATAACTGTCCTTGTTACGAAGGCCCATGTTACCTTTTCATTTCATGTTGGTTTTAGAAGGAAACAACAAGGCTGGTCTAAGGTAGGCAACCAAATGTTGTCTTTTGTTTTATGGGGGTCTTTTTGTGGCCTTAGTTTTGAACTTTCAGGAACATGGAGTTGTATTTATGGACAAAGTGAGTATAAAGCAAATGACCCTTTTTCAGATATACCTCAGAGTTCTGTATAAGTAATATTTATCTTAATATGTGCCTTCATTATGATAGACACTATACAAAAACCTAAGAAACAGTCCCTGTTCATCTGATAACACCAGGTTAAAAGGACAAGGGAAGAAACTGCTGTGAAGTGAGCTTTCTCTTCTTCCAGCTGACCTTCCTGCTTAGCTTATGTTTGGTGTAGGGAATCCTAACATGGCTTGGAGTAGAAATCAAAGTGTATCAGTGTATGAGTATATGTATAATAAACTCCATTCCTACTTGCATTTGTACAATGCAAATTACATGTGCGTGTTGGGAAGCTGATGTTAGTATAACATCAAAACTGCAAATAACTATCAAAGTCAGGAAATCCAAAGGTTTGGGTTTCTGCCTCACTCCCCCTTTCTTTCCTGCACATCCAGACTCTTTTATAGTATACCACAGTTTTGAAAACAAAAAAAAAAAGAAGTAATACAATAGTGTTAAATCTAAGCAAATAAATAAGACTAGAAAATGTGATATATATTGCAGTGTGTCAATGTGAATGTTGTGGCAGAAATCTTAGCTTTTGGAATTACTGGGAGTATAAAGCTATGGTAAGGGTAGATTTTTTTTTTTAAGCTAATTGTTCTATTTAAATGAGAAAGAAAATGCTGAAAAATGACTAATATAACATCTTCATTTCTAGCATGTTAGAGTTTTCCTGGGAGAATGTTTGGGAGGCACCTCAGTAGTGCCGAACACCCGGAGAGCCACAGAGTAGACCCAGTTTGAAATGGGTTATCCTGAACTGGAGGGGATCATGTCTCCTTTTTTGTAAGGAATCTGACTTTGCTGAACTGGCACTTACATGAGATCTTACTTACAGAGGCATCCCCAAGAAATGGTTCCTACACCGCATTAGGATAAAGGCTTTGGGTAAATGCAAATGCTGCAGTGCAAGAGAAAAAATGCTAACTTTAAGACCCACATTCTCGCAATATCTTCTATTTTTGGGGGAGTAGGCAGGATTACTGCTATGCCTAATGAAGTGTGGGCATAACATTGGCAGAGGTATGTGGATGTATGAAAAAAATAATTTCTAAAAAGTTTGAGGGTAGGGTTAAAAAACCTGTTTATGTATGTTTTCATAACTCTAATGAATATAGAATTAATTTTCTTCGGACATAGGGTTTCATCATGTGCAAGGCTGAGTGCCTCTGCAGGAGCCAAAGGCACAGCTGCTAAGTTCCTGGGCATTTGTCTTTTAATCTACATGAGAAGTATACATATCTTTCTGTTATATATTTGATATATGTTATGATATGTTGTGATATATGTCTGACAGATGCTAATATTGATGCTTTTCATAAGTCCTGTTGAATTATGCAAGTGCATAATGTTTTAAATTGAAACTTAGGTGAAATATATTTTTTCATATATCCTTGAAAAAATGCAGCTTAACCTTTTTGGCAAGTAGAATTACCTTTCTGGAGGGTAGTAAGGTTTTTGTGTATTTGAAGAGGGAAATTGGAACAGGATGAGGACTTCATTTCAGCTTCATTACTTCATACACTGCTGATGAATGCAATGTGTTTTTGCAATATGTCACAAACTTTCAATATTTTGCAAATTATTCAACTTATTTACAGTAACAGTTCTGCTGATTTATATTCTCATAATACTGTGTTTGAACTTCCTGTGACTCTAGTGATGTTTGTAGGAGCGGCTGTGTACCAAAAGCTCTTGGTAGATTGTCTGCTGAAATTATCCCAGATGTGTAGTGAACACAAAAGGAAATCAAGTATAATGATCCTCTCATACAAGTTTGCTGAAATCAATTTCACCCTAAATATAAAGACAGATTTGCAAATATAAGACTACTTTGACATTTCCTTATAAGCATTTTTTCTTAAATACATTTTTTGCAGTGGCTTTGCCTCCAGAGAAGACAGATGGAGTTTGCAGTGGAGATGAAAAGAAGGCAGAAAAAGAAGGTGACACACGCACAGGTTCCAAGAAGCAACTGAAATTTGAAGTAAGTCCTCTGTATTTTAAAGTTTCACTGTGCTGACATAATTATGGTAGAAAAATAACCTGTGGACCAAACGGTGTCCTCTGATGCATGTATATAGCTCCCTATGATTGTAGTGGGTACAGGAGGAAGCAGAATTGGCACAAGTCAGTGTCTTGCTATTGGTGCTTCTGATGAGGTGATCAGTGAGATTTGTTTCCAGGTTTGGAGAGGATCACATGATGATCATGCCTCTGTAGGATCTGAAATGTATAGTAAGAAGAGGCATTCCATTTAACCCTTTATCTATGATGCTTTCATTAGTAATTTATTATGCCAGCTACCATGTTCTCAAATCTTTAGACTGACTTTCATGGACTATTGGACTTGATTAAATCTGCCTAGTGTAAAAGATGTTTGTGAAAGCTTCCTTAACCATCAGTCTTCTGTGCCTGGGCTTCCGAAGTGAAATAACCCTGACCTGCTACCTGGGAAATCCATCTGATCACATGGCAGGAGGAAAAGGATCCTGGAGGGCAATGAGTCTGATGGTCTATTTCCTTGTAGACTTACAAACATCATAAAACTGCCAGATACTGTGTGTAGTTGGCAGGTTTTGTTTATATAGGGAGTGATTTAATAAATAGGAGTATTGAAACATGCTGTCATCTGGCTAGAGGGTTGTCTGTCTTGGTGAGGAGGAAGATACTCTGGTACCGGCAAGAAACAGCACGAATTTTCATCTCTCTGCACTCCAGCAGACATGGCAAACTTCTACCTTTCAGTGCTGTCAGCCTGTCACAGTAATGAGCTTTTCGTTCTTCAATTGTTATTTAAAAGAGCATGCAGCCACCTTGCAGCATGGCTTGAGTGTTCGTTTCCTTCTCTAGAGCAGGTTTAGTAGTCTGGTACGATTTTATTTTTTACTGTTTTAAGGCTGATTAAAAGGAGGTAGCTTTCCCATAGGCAGTTCAGGTGTTGCTAGGTGCTTGTGTGCCTTCTGGGGGGAGGTGACTTTTCCTGCCGTTTTTTTTTTTTTTTTTTGCACAGCAATAACTCTTTTTCTAGGCACATTTTGTATTCTACCTTGAGCAGCAGACGTTTGCAGACAGGAAAGGCATGATAAGTTGCAATTAACAGTGCCTTGATATTTGAACGTTGGAGGACACCTGTCAACATGGTTGGTGCCAGAGTAGCTGGAACTCCACCGTACCGGCAAAGTCTGTGTTTGTTCCCAAGTAGTTCTTGGCATGCCATAAAGGTTAGCACTTGGTACTAGGCTCCATGACTAATGCAGGGAAGGTTGCCATGGCTCTTAACTAAGCAGAGCACATCCTCACATAAAGATGTTATGTTAGGCAATGTGGGACAGGGAAGTATTAATACGTGGCAAGAAACCAAGTATTGATATTTTTTTTCCCTTGTTCTACAAATGAAGGTTTTCCAGCTATGTACGCTAGGAGCTAAGAGATTGGTAAATGTTTCAAAGGTATAAAAGAATCAGAAACGCAAGTGTTGAGACAAGAGGTCTAAATCTGAGGTGGATGTGATTTGGCTTTTAAAGGTGCCGGGAATGTTTATGTAATATGAAACTGTGTTTCCACAGTAGAGTGTGGGGCACTTGGCAGCTTTCAGCCAGGCTTGTTACGACTGAGAGAGACTGCCTTTGAACTCGGCAGGGGACAGGGGGTACCGGTAACTGCTGTAGGGAATTGGTTTCAAGTCAGAAGATCAACCAGGTATTTTGAGCTCTATCATGCTGAAGCTATTTGGAGCTGTTTATTTTACTTGCATACAGTGGCTTTCATTTTAATTGCACTGTAACTTTTCTGTTTTGCCTTGTTGTGGCTCTGGATAATTCTGATTGCACAGGTCTTGAGAGAAAACAAACGATTTGCACCCAGGTGACTGGAGTCAGTCAAAGTGCATCCTTTGTTCTTGACTGAAGTCTTGGTTTTGGCTTGAGGATTTTTTTTTCCTTTAACAAATTGATTCTTTCAGGCTTTCCACAGATCACACTCTCAGTAACAAGCACAGTTAAAATAAGGACCAGGCGCTATTCCCAGGTCGCTCTTACCTGCCAGTTCCTAGGCAGGCTCCGTTGCAGGAGCTTCGGTGGCATGATGCTGTGCTGCACTAACTCTGACAACCTTTGGGTATCAAATATCTGTACCAAGGACAGGTCTCACTGGTGGGGATTTGTGCCATATATCTACTTTGTATTAATGACTTCTCCTGGCACTGTGGTGTACTGCCTCATTCTGCGAGTCTGTTTCTGTTATCTTTCTCTTCCGGAGTTAAGCAGAGTTTTCTTTCTCACTTTTTAGTGGGAAACCTTACTATATTTCAAGAGCTTCAGGGAGTAGTTTTCTTGTACCTTTTTGTGTTTTCTACAATAAAGTAGAAAGCATCTTGCAGATTCCCCGAAGTCTAACCCAAGGGAGTTAGGATTATCATGTGATTGTGATGCGACTCCTTCATTGTGGTGGACAGAGGCCTCCCTGGGACATACCCTGAAAGCTTCCTCCCGCAAGGGAGGGAGGAAGAAAGCAAGGAAGCAGCCTCCTTCTACAGAGAGTCTCCTCTGCAAACAGGCCTTTTGCTTCAGGTAATCAGCTGCTCTTTGCATGTTTCTTAGGAATTGCAATGTGATGTGTCTGTAGAGGAAGATAACAGGCAAGAATGGACCTTCACACTGTATGACTTTGATAACAACGGAAGAGTCACACGCGAGGTAAGCAAAGTACAGCTGCCCCTTTGTGTGCAGCGTTTGCTAACAAGAGAAGTGTTTTATAACAGGAACATTTTTTTCTTCTATGAAATAGAGGTGTCCTGCCAATTTAAACAGCAGTTTCCATGGACCCTTCCCGCCTAGAAACAATCCCACCAGTAGTTTACTGTTTTCAGATGTACTGTACCACTTCCTAAGCTGGTTGTTGTTTAATATCTGGGATTAGCCTTTAAAAAATAGTACTGGCATTTGAGGAGGAAAAATATCTGAAACAACTGAACAACTAAACACATTGTCAAAATAAACCCCTGCAAATGTATATTGTTCTGGCTTCTATCCTGCTTTTCAGAGTTAAGCTAACCAAATAGCAAGGTTGCTTTCTGACATTCTTTCCAGTAGGACTAACTATACTGTTCTGTTGTTTTCATGAATATTAGGCTGATCTCTGCCTTCTCCCTCCAAGTGTAAATAACATTGATGATACTTGCTGGAGGACCGTAGTGAGTGGCTGTCAAAGCCTACCCATGTGTATTTTTTATTATCAGGATGTCTTTAAGTTGTATTTCCTGTGCAAATAAGAAGCCAAAGAAGTGGATGTATAGATTAGAATACAGTCCTTTTTCAGAATGATTTCTATCCAAATTGAATGATACTTCTTCTAGAAGAATGTCTTTTACTGAGATTTACTGCAATGGGCTGTCATTGATTTCTTTTGTGAGGTGTGTTTACTGACTCCTGAGCCTTCGGATAATCAGCTGAAAATTGACAGTTTTTGTTTCTCTTGGCTCTTACGCTGGTGTCTGTGAAAATTGCTGAGAACTGATTGAAATGAATAGGACAAATACGGAAAGCATAGTGGCCTTAGACACCAAATGAGGGCAGAAATTTTTCCTAGAAGACTGAAGCATCTCTTTTGACATTTGTGAACAAATTGCCAAATGTGGTGGTTGTTCAGGGTTTTTAACATGTATATGAACATCATTGCTAGGCTTTTTTTATTGTCTCTACTCTGATAGTGCTTTGAATAGTCAAATGAAATCTGTGCCCCTCATGCAAGAGAGTAAGTAGATGAAACGTTACAGGCCAAGTCCAGAGTTTCAAATGGGAAGACAAGATATATAGAGGGGTCAAGAAGAAGGGGGGGGGGGAAGTAGTATTGTATTTGTTTGCGTATGGGGAACAGAGACCAGAAAAATGAAATAATTTGCCCAAGGTCTCACAAGAACCTCGTGGCAGATTGAACCCAGATCTTTCAAGACCCAAGGCTAAGTCTTCATTACAAGATTATCGTGACTCTCAAAGAATAGGGGAAAAACACACAAAACCCAAACCCACACACATGGGTGTCCTTTACATTCAGGCATGGAATTCCCATTAATGTCAGTGGGAGTTCCATGTGCTGAATGTAACGAGAATATGCTTTTAAGTATGTATACAATAATTATTTGTGATTATGTGGTACACCAAAGAGCTTAATTTGACTGTACTTAGAGAATATGTTACAGCCAAATGCTAGCTCTCCCTGCTACAAGAGCAGACTGCAGCTTAACTGAAACCAAATCTGTGCAGGGATTGAAAATTATACTACTCTGAGGTCTGGGGGTTGCTATATTCAGGCTTGAACCTGTGCCAAAAAAAATTCTTTGAACCAAGGGACCAAATAGGTTGATAATTTTCAGCTCTTTACATGTGACCAAAGATAGAAACAAATAGGATGCACCATTGCAGAGTTTCCCGGTTATGTTACACACTTCTTTTGCAAGCTGTTCCAGTGCCATTTGTATAACCCATCTTGTTGGTTGTCTTCTGTTGAATCCAGATGCAATTTAAGAGTTGTTTGTGCAAGAATGACTAACGATAGCAGCTCATAGATAATCTTGGCCACAAAAGAGGAATTTCAGTCTCTTCGTATGACATGGAATTCCTTGTTCTATTAGCCCCTGAGACACTGGCAGTCAACACAGTGAGTGGGCGTGATACTATCGTTTGTTAAGCACCTCTGCTTCTGATCCGGCAAAGGACTTAACGATGGAGAACCTTAAACGTGTGAATAGTTTCAATTAAAATGAATGGAACACGTGCTTTGAGTTAAAAGTATGTGAAGCACATTGCTGGATCAGGGACAGAATAGACAGTCTGAGGAAGAGGGCTGATCTGTGCCAGTGCCATTTAGTGAGCTGATGAAAATGCTTTCAGAACCGGTCAGCTTTTCTAAACAAAAGTCCAGTGTTCTGGTGAGAAGAGCTTAGTGTGGACCTTTTCTCCTTCTTTGAAAATTTCACTTTAATGTCTCCTGGATTTATAGCCAGAAGTAACAGAGAGATGAAATTTCTTAAGTCACATTTCTATCTGTAGACCTTGAGGTGCTTTACAAAAAGGAGTCAGCCTTATCATTCTTGTTTTTCGTGTTGGAAAAGTGAGACACTGGAGGAGGAAGTGACTTGCCCACCCACATCCATTTTATTTGATTCAAAGTCATTGTGTTTAGAACATTGGACTTCATGTCCAGAGAGTTTCCAAAGGAATACACAGTGTTAAATTAAGTTTGTAAGAGACATGTAGGTGGGGTGCAATTTTACAAGTGGACTAAATGGTTTTTTCATTAAAATGTTTGAAAATTGTAAATAAGATTTAGTTACTGGATAAAAATTTCCCTTGGGTTTTACACAATGACAGATCACTGCAAGAGCATTCAAATTCCATCTTAGTGAAACTTCTTCTGGATCTTAACAACATCTTCAGAACTTAATACCGCTTTGATTTCCTCCTAGAGTCTATGTGACTTATTCTGTAGTCCTTATAATTAGAAATTCAGATCTAGTCGTGCTTCTTGAAGAGATACACACATTATGAAAGCATAATTATTGGGATGGCAAATTATAAAATTAGCATTACTGTATGTTATTAAACTACTGCTTTTTCTTCCATAGAAGGCGACCATTATTCTGTCCTTTTGGTGTAGTGAGAGATAACTTTTCCTACTCTAATATGTATATTACAAAACTTGCCTAATAATGTTTCTCTTCATTGCATAAGCCATAAGAGGACAATTCATTATGTACTGCAGGCCTTTTTAGAACTGACAGCTGCACTGTAATTATCTTCACACTGATATTTGTAATCGGACTTGAAACTTGGTAATTGAACTAATGTGTTTTGATCCATGAGGTTTTATATTGAGCGCTCTGAATGTAATTATACTTCATAAACACTAGCCTCCCCTCCCTTTCCCCCCCGCACCCTCCCACCCCAGTTAGTTCTTTCTTGGAAAATTGAGTTTCTTTGGTGAGTGACTTCACAGGAATAAGCACACAAGAAAGTTTCTTGTCAGGAGTAAAAAAATGGAATTTCTTCTAGACTAGTTGTTGAGTAGATAGCGAGTGACGCTCCTTTCAGGTTCCAAATAAGAATGATTCAAAAACATGTGTGATCAAACAAAGCTGATGTTGCAATAAAAACATCCTGCTGTATGTAAAAATCAGGCTACAAACAAAGTACAAATGAGACATTTGTACTTTTCTTTTTCTGAAGGAAAGGTAATGAACAGATACTGATGTTTCTCTTTATGCATTTTTAATGCTAAAAATGTTCTTTGTATCTTACATTAAATACCCAATTTTTCCTCTTCTGTTTATTTCTTTTCCTTTTCAGTTATTTTTGCTCATATCCTCTGTAATGAGTGAAAAGGTTTGAGGTTATTTCTGCATTCAGAACTCAGCACCAAGTCTTTGGCTTGGCGAAGGATACTGGCTTTTCTAGGGCTACCAATTATCAGCCTGACCCTTATCTTGAAATCTGCTGGTTTTCACTCTGTTTGTCAACATTGTATTAACTCATGATATAGAAGCAGCAATGGAACCAACAGATAGAGGAGTAGCACCTGTCTGTATCAGAGGGGCCATCATTTCAGCCATTAGATTTGGTGGATTTGTGCCAGAGAGAAATAGTAAGAGAAAATACGTCTTTCTCTTTTGGTTTTGTTGGGAGCCAAAGACATCTCTCCCAGACAAGTTGCAAAGAATCAAAGGGAATGTTTTCTTTCAGTGTTATTAAACTCAGTGGGGTTTTTTTGGTTTTTTTTTGTTTTTTTTTTTTTAATTCTTGGTCTTTTTTGTTTGTTTTGTTTGTTTGTTAGTTTGTGTTGGTTTTTTGGTTTTGGTTTTTTTTTTTTTTGGTGCAAATGACTCATTCTGTTAAATTAATTCTGCTGGAAAAGCCTCTTAGTTTCCTTTACAGAATCTCTAGTTTGCTAACTAGTGCTATGATGATAAGCTACACTAATACTGGAAAAATAGGGATGTCCCTGTACCACTAATGTTCCTCAGAAGTAAAAAATTAAAACCTGGAATAGTGACTTTCTCAGTCACATGAGTTTGGTAAAGAGTGAAGAATACTTCAGTGTCATTTGTTCTTGTTTTTGCAGACCTGTTAGTTTCTCTGAAAGTTCTAAATTCCTGGTAATCTCCTACTGGAGATCTGTAAAGTATTCTGCAGATACATGTGTGAGTGCAGCATACATGTGTGGCCTTAACTGTTTGCTTTTTAGTATTTCTAATGCAGGTATTTCTGGCAATCTATTAAAGTTGCTCTTTTGTTGTATTAACTGCTTGATAAAAAAAAGGATGTGAAAAACATACAGATTAACGCTGTTAAATCCTTCAGCTCTGGAAAAACCAACTCTAGTGTTCAGTAGGCAAGACACAAATAAATCTGGGTATGGCGTGTGCTGGCTGTTTGGATACTACCCAGCAAGCATTTGTTTTCCTCTTTGAGGAAAATCATCATGGTTTCAGTTTTCTTACTTGATTAAACTGCTACCCCAGCAGAAATTCTGCACACTAGAAGCCCTTCAAAAGTTAGTAAGATTCATGCAGCCTACTTCCCCTCTAAATATAATACGTTTGCTATAAAGGAGAATTTTTTTTTTTTAATTATTTCTCTTTACCCATTTAATATACTAATTTAAAAATCCACAATGATTTTTAACTAGAAATGATTTAAAACTACATTTCAGTAAAAAAAACAAGCAAATGATATTTTTGGAAAAATGGGAAACACTGAAAAATCTGTTCCTGTTTATTTTTCATGTTAAAAGGGAAGAAGTTTGAGAAATGTGGGGTGAAACTTTGTGTGCGGGAAGTGCCAAGCAGCCTTAACCAAAGCAGTTCCACAATCATGTGACTAGTAAAAATCATAATCCATTGTGCAGAAAAGTTAGATTCTTTGGTAGGTGGTCTCTGAGACATACTGGTTGGTGTACCAGAAAAGAGGAAAATTTAACTAGCTTTTATTCTTGATTTTTGATGCTAAATTTCTTGAGGACACTGAAATGCACAAGTTGATGTGTAGAAGGTAAGGCTGTCTCAGTGGTTTTAGGCAGTTCTTTAAGGAATTTAAATGCATATAATATTTGGTGGGACAGCTTTCAAGGGGAACATAAATTCCCTCAGTCTCCTGGCAGGCTACTGGAAGATGAAAATTCTTTTGGGGGTAAATATAGACATAACTATAAAATACAAATTTTGTAACGTATATTTTAATGGTCTAGTGCTACTAATTTGACAAGAAGCCATTACCATATTAGCTTCCAAAAAAGGGCTGTGAGAAGGTAGTTTTAGTCACTGTTCCAAACTCGTTGACGAAGACCATTCCTACCAGATCAGTGCCTCAGGAATTTGTGTGTTATAATTGTGAAGCAATAACTGGAAAGCAACAGGAGGTTCAGGCTGCCTTGTAGCTGGTACCTACTCATGCAGGACCTTGGTAGGTAGCAAATGAGCCTAGCAGACTTGTTTGACCAAGTCAGAACTGTCAGTTTGCTAGAATTTCCAACCCCAAATTAGGATGACAAGTAAATGAGTCCTATAATAAAAATGTTGTTGTCGGTATTTAAAACATCAGCATAAGCATTAAGTGGTTACTTATGCATATCCCTGACCTCGATCTTGGTATATATCCAGTTTGACGACCACGTTCGTTCAGTGCCAGAATGCAGAGCAGTTCAGATTGTTGTGGAGGAAGCTGGGTATTAAACATGTAATGAAATGCACAGGCAGCAGAGCGTAAGGCCACAAGGTGTCCTGATACCTCTGTGCAGCCTCCTAAAACTGCTTGGAGCCTGGACATTAATTTGGGTTAATTCGGGCCTGTTTGGCTGAGAGATGTAAATTGCCCTGATGTGATATGTGCGTGTACATATTTCTGACTTGCCAAGTATGTGTCACACAAATGCTGCATCTGGCCTTCTTTGACAGTGTTTGGGAGTACTTTTTAAACTGCTGAGTCAAGTGGCTTGTTGAGAAAGACCCTCACAGAACACAAAGGGCAGATTGTATGCCAGTTAGCAAGTTAGACCTCATCACTGGAAAAAAATAATGTAAAAGGACAGTGGGAGTAAAGACTTTGCCTATTGAAGTTAAAATAGACTACATGGTCAGCTTGTAACAAACATCTGGTGTAGCTGAAAAAAGGAAGGAGGATGGATTATTGTGAATGAAAAGTTGATAATAACCTCTTGATAGTAGCCTTGTGTGGAAAGATGCCATGTTGGCTAACCAACACTTGTTAAGGAATGTATGGGAAGGGCTCCATTCACCAAAGTGCTGAGCGTATGAAGCCCTGTTCAGAATAAATACGGTGTTAAAGTATTCTGCTGAAGGGGGAAGGTTTGGCTTGTCGAGGTGTAGGATTATAGCACAAGGCTCCTAGAACATAATTTATGGAGGGTGTATAAAACAACACATATGTTTTGGTTTTCTGTCTATGTTCTTGCTTGGTTGGGTTTTTCTCATAGATGAAATAAAATTCCAGCCCTTCAAGCTGGCTGTCAGATACGGCTGTGTCTATTTAGCGGTCTGGCTAGGTTTCAAATTAGGGTGGAAGTGTGAGAAGGGAGATGTATTAAAGAGCTGTGAGGTGTCCACCAGATTGTCGCTGAGAAATCTTTCCCTCATTCAACCTTTAGGCGGTGGCTCTTGTCAAGAGGATGGAAAGCAGCTACTTGACATGGTAGTAACCGCCCATATATAGAGACTTGCAGCAATGGTAGAAAAAATATGTCAGTGGGGAAATAAAAGAGAGACTGCAAATTCTGCTCTCTTTTATGAATATGTTGTCTTGAACTCACAAGTCTGGAGAAATTCCACTGAGTGCAGAAAAGTTAGAGAGGGTACATGTTAAGACAAAGTCTGGACCCTTTAGGATTTAGTTATTCATTCTGCCTATTGAGCTGGAAAATCACCTACTGTAAAATCATTTGTCCTGGCCATAAGGTCAGTATTTCCCTAAATTCTGTGTGAGTAGAAATTAGTATTTCTGTGTCACCTTTAAAGCTGGTTAGGTAATGAGGACTGTGTGGTATATTGAGTACTAAAGTGCTAGGAACCATTAGGACATACTAAATTTCGAGCTGCTGTTGTTACAGGTGTGACCCCTGGGCAAAGGAAAAAATTGTAGAGGTTTTGAATTTTTATAGACCTGACTCTTAATCCTCAAAACCAGTTATACTTAGCAAAGGATGATTTAGGTACTTCCTTTGTGCTTGCAGGCATCTGGAAAGAGCTTAGGTACTAGGATAGATCAAGGAATAGGAAGACCAGCATGGATACATTCTCAGATGTACATTGAATGGGATCTTCATAGCCTGCAATGATCAGTATGCTTTGGCCTTAGGTTGTTGCCCAAGACCATTTTTGATGAAATCCCTTTGGGGAAAAGCAGTGGGCCGAGAGATCTCCTTTTCATCCTGGCAATTTAAGGTAGTACCCTATTTGAGCCTGGCTGGATTAGATCAACCTGAGAGACCTTAGAGCACCACCAGCAACTAAACAGTGTTTTTCCTGTCTGAAACAATTGGCTTATTAAAACTGGCTGGTGTTCTTTCTGATATAGCCAGACATGTAAGCATTTGTTCACATCCCATTGCCTTCAAAGAGATGCATGAAGAATGCTCTGTAATAGGCCTGGCTGGATAATCTCTGCTGTTCAAAAATATAAGTTTAGAACTGGCTTGAATTTTTCAAAATAAGCTAGATCCCAATATGAATATGGTAGTGTGACATTCAAGCACCATTGCCTTCAAAGAGATGCATGAAGAATGCTCTGTAATTAATGAGCATTAATGTAATTAATAAATCTCTGTAATAAAGAATGCTCTGTAATCCTGGCTGGATAATCTCTGCTGTTCAAAAATATAAGTTTAGAACTGGCTTGAATTTTTCAAAATAAGCTAGATCCCAATATGCATATGGTAGTGTGACATTCAAGCATCATTTATTTCCAGACCTGGGGTTTACAGTTCTGTCACTTCTCTTACTGGTTTTCCTCTATATAATCAACCATTTAACTAACCCAAGAAGTAGTAAGACTGTAACGTCCAAGATTTTCTTCAATTGCTGTATTTGTTTTGGTCATGTGAACTCAATTTTTAGTGCAGTATGAATGGTTTTTCCTGGGTTCTGTTGAAACTAAAGAAAAGAAAAGGCAGAACACAATTTTGCTGAATCACAGTTTGGGAAACCTGAATGCCTTGTGCTTTTATTATTGTTTTGATCTGGTTTGCCCCATTTCATAAATCTTACACCATTTGGTGAAGAATATGGATCTACTTGAATCATTCTCTTCTGTGTCTGTGATCTATATTACTGTCTATATTAGAAAAAATGGGGGTTAATGGAAGAGAGCAACGGATCTTGTAAGGTTCTGTGCAAGTTCAGCTCTTTTAAATTCAGTGACTTCTGAGGATATTTCAGCATCTAATAGTCCCAAGTCCGAAACAGTTATAAGTATCAAAGCTATAGGTTTCATACCATTTTCACAATAGTATGTCTTTTTGTGTTTCAACCCAACTATAGGATATTACCAGCTTGCTTCATACCATCTATGAGGTAGTTGATGCATCAGTAAACCATTCTCCTAGTTCCAGCAAAACTCTGCGAGTGAAACTTACTGTGGCACCAGATGGCAGCCAGAAGAAAAAGAGTATCTTGTTAAATCATACTGGTAAGGATGTGCAGTCCGCTGTTGGAAAAAATATGAAAAACTTCAAGAATCCCCTAAAAATCCGTCTTCATATTTTGTTACTACAAATAAATGTATGCTTAAAGGCAAATAATTCTGTGGGTATTTTAGACCCCCTGAACCTGTTTTAAGATCTCAGGTGCAAAATTGTCTCTTCTCCTTTCAGTGTCTGTTCAGCAAATTAGGGTTCCCTCTCCTGACTGCTTGTTTTCTCTTGGCAGCAGCAATAACCTGTATGTTGTGTAATTGTCTTTGTGTACTGCAAGGCAGGTTTAAGACCTTTTCAACTTGTACCACCTTAACTCTGCTGATATTACAGTGCTCAGTTTGTGTGGAAACACGTGTAGTGGTATAAAACGTTTTTTGCAAGTGCACAGCTGTCACTGCTGCTGGATAAGAATAAACAATTAAGCATAAGTAACCTTTATGAATCTATGCATAAAAATAGCACATTTTTCAGTACTGGCAGAGTCCGCCATTACAAAATAGCTTATACTCTGATGGCCTGTTCACCTTATATTCACTCTAATAATAGTTGTATCAGCATAATTACTTCAGTAGATAAAGTAGTACTAAATTAAAATACTTAAAAGGATTTAAAGTAATACTTCAGTAGAAGATGTGGGCACCTTATCCAAAAGGAGGCCCTCGTTACCTCAGTTTTAATATATACATCCACTCAGTCAAGTGCAGTCATAAGCAAATCTGCACTGCTGGGGAGCTATGCGATGCATTAGTACAGCATCAAGCTCCACACTACCAAGCTCTCCTAAGGGACAGGTATATTAGTGTGAATGTGGCTCCATTTAACCTGCCGCATGGCTTGCAGCCTAACCCTGACTAACGTCCTACAGTCAAGGTTATGTCTGCCTAAAATCTGTCGTGTGGACAAAAGCACTTTTGAGAAGGTTACATGAAATGATACATTACATCTTGATCTACTGACAAGAAAAAATGTATTTGCGTGTTAGTTATGCTGATCAGCGAGGACGGTAATGTGAGAATAATGTACTTTCTCTTGTTGGCAGATTTGCAGAGTGCCAGGCATAGAGCTGAAAGCAAAGCTAATGAAGAAGTAAGAAGCTCTGAGAAGAAACAGCGGGCTTCTCTCAGGTAAGGGGAAAGAACCCTGTCTTCTGACAGGCACTGGGTACCTCTGAGGAAACATCAACCACTGATTTCTTGCTTGCTTGCTTTATTTTTAAAAATTATGTTAAAATAGAGGAACTACAGGATTTTTCACTGTGGAACCTCAGCAGATTCCGTGGGTGGATACTTCGTATATTAAAATGAAAAAGCAAATCTGTAGCACCCATTACTCAAATTTTCTTCTTCTGTTGGTTCTTTGGAGGACATGCAGTGTCTTTTTTGATGCCATCTGCCAATATTGTGCCTACTAGTGGAGTTTATTGCACAGCCTTTTGGCTAAAAGTGTCTTAAAACCTTTTCATCTGTTTCATCAGCATCATCAAACTGCCTGGCCGAAAAGGACCTGGGGGTGCTGGTTGACAGCCAGCTGAACATGAGCCAGCAGTGTGCCCAGGGGGCCACGAAGGCCAACAGCAATCTGGCCTGTGTCAGGAATAGTGTGGCCAGCAGGAGCAGGGAGGTGATTGTCCCCCTGTACTTGGCGCTGGTGAGGCTGCACCTGGAATACTGTGTCCAGTTTTGGGCCCCTCAGTACAAGAAAGACATTGAGGTGCTGGAGCGTGTCCAGACAAGGGCAACGAAGCTGGTGAAGGGTCTGGAGCACAGGCCTTATGAGGAGCGGCTGATGGAACTGGGGTTGTTTAGTCTGGAGAAGAGGAGGCTGAGGGGAGACCTTATCGCTCTCTACAACTACCTGAAAGGAGGTTGTAGTGAGGTGGGTGTTGGGCTCTTCTCCCAAGTAATTAGCAATAGGACAAGAGGAAATGGGCTTAAGCTGCGCCAGGGGAGGTTTAGGTTGGATATTGTGAAAAATTTCTTCACGGAAAGAGTAGTCAGGCATTGGAACAGGCTGCCCAGAGAGGTGGTGGAGTCACCATCCCTGGAAGTGTTCAAAAAACGGGTAGACGTGGCACACTGGGACATGGTTTAGTATACTCTACCCTTAATTGGTTTAATTGGTTTAGTGTGGACTTGGTAATGTTAGGTTAATGGTTGGACTGGATGATCTTAAAGGTCTTTTCCAACCTAAACAATTCTATGATTCTGTGATTCTATCTTCCTAGAGGTCAGACCCCCTTCCTTTCTCTGTCCTCCTTCCAGCCCATCTTTTTCACTGGTCAACTCAGTTAGCTCCAAGCTTTATTAAGTCAATCTTGTTTACCAGGTCATAACCAGACCTGATTCTCCTTACCACCTTTCCTCCTAAAGGAAGCAGCTTTGGGCTGGCACTGGATACAGTACCTAGCAGAAGGAGGAAAGAAGGGAGCTCGCAGCAGAGCAGCAGACAATCAGCTTTCAGCAAGTGGTCTACACAGGCTATGTTCCGCAGAGTAAGCGACAAGCAAGAGCTTCCAGCACGCTGCCCACTCCATGCTCCATTCTGCTGAGGTGGTTCTGGCTTACAGCAACTGTGGGGTGGCTCAAATCCACTTACAAAGTGTGTTTGTACATTTGGTAGGAGAAGTAAATTCATCTCTTTCTTACCTCACAGGGACTTATCAGAGTGGCCATCTCTGCTGACTCCCACCTGCCAGAAACCATGCTTCCCTGCTCCCACATCAGCTTTAGGTCAACTTCTCCCTTACAGAATTAGTTATTAGGTAGTATCCATGTAGGAATTAGCCTGCTTGCTTAGAACCAATCCATTTAATGTAATCTTGCAGGGAAATTGGGAGAATTTCATTTATCTTTTCTTTTTTTCCATAAGTTTCAGAATACATTTCACCACTTGAAAGAATACCTGTCTGTTGTCTTTCAGTGGAATCCAGCCTGTGTGACTCAGAGTGCATCCATTTCCCATAAAGCATAAGCACAGTGGTTTCTTTTATGAAGAGTTGCAGGTACACTTGCAGCCATCTACAGATTAGATAAAAAATGGTTTTTCATTCTTCCCTAACAGAATGTACAATTTTATTTTGGATGCCAGTCTGGAACAGGCCTTTTTCCTCTGAGAATGTGTAATCATGTGTATCTACCCTGTTATCATGACTTCTGCCTACCTGATAGATATTACCTGCACTGAACTCCAGAGTATGTGATAATAATTTGCAATGTATTTTTCAAGTATTAAAATTTTTTACAGCTAAAAAAAGATGTTAATCTCTCAGTCACATGTAGGTGTGCTATTCCTTTTCTGAATTTGGTATTTTAATGGATAGAAAACCAAATCAAAAGCAGATAATTTTGATGCATTTTAATTTAGATCAGTTGCTCCAAACAGGTCATCTTGGTGTGTAGGTTTGATCTGTTTTAGGATTTTATATTTCACACTGAGGCAGAGGGAAGCGTTTGCTGAAATGCTACAGTAATGACATTGAAGCATTAGTTGCATTTGTTTCTTCAGCTGCAAATTAAAAAAAAAAAATAAAAATCCACTTCTGGCTTTCATTGGATTTAGGGTTATTTGTCCAAGTACATAATAAATTTATCAGGAGAAGGAGCATTCAGTCTTATTAAAAATGACAACAAAACAGTGCCTCCCTTTTTTGGATAGAATAAAAATGCTAGTGAGTTGTCCCAGTGAGCAAATCCCAGTACAATCAGATTTCAGATTAAAAGACTAAAATGACTTCTAATCTTCTGTTAGCAACTCTCTACAAAATCTTCTGTGAATTAAAGAATACTCTGTGGTTTTGCTTGCTGGCCTAGAGGTGGTGTTCAGATTCCCTCTGCCCATTAGCAAAGGTTTGCCCTGTGTGAATTTAATGGACTATTTTTGTTTGATAATCTGCTGCAAAAAATCCCCTTTAGTTTAAAGTCCCCCTTCCATCCACCTTAAAGACCTGGTTTTGCAAATGTAGTGGTTTTACGAACAGCAGCCATTTCCACTTAAATCCACAGTCACAGGCATCAAATGTTGGGGCAGAATCCTGGCTCTGCTGCATTTGTCTTTCGCATCCCTTTGGTTAGAGGCTTCCTAGACAGAACAAATCTATATCTTGAGCTGAGCAGATCAGCATCAGACAACTGTCAGCATCTGACAGTTTTTTGCATTTCATTAAACGTGGACAGGACAAAGAATGTCCTGTCCACGCTGTGTATGTTGCAGGGATGTTTGTGCACTCTGGCCAAATTGCTAATCTTCAGGAAAGCTCCCTGAGGCTCATATTGGAATCTCACGATATTAATGCAGAGCCTTCCCCTTTGAAAGCAGCAATGAGGACTTGAGAAGTGCACACATTTCGCAAATTCAATCACTTAGGAGTTCTAGGCAAGATGTGATTAATATTCAAGATAAAATGGATAGAAATGTTTCTATCCTGAAGGTGGGAGATAGATGGGTTAGATTTTTCATCTGCTGGAAGCTACAGGCAGGAATTTTCACCTGTAGGGCTAGTACAAGTATCCAGATCAAGTAGCTAGACTCAGAGACAGCTTGCCTGGCAAGAGTAGTACAAATGGATGGTGGAAGAGCACTGGCAGGCAACTTTGTGGATTGGGTATCTTCATGCCATTCTAGTTTATATTTCATTTAGTGCAACAGGGAAAATAGGATGCACATCAGCCTCTAAAACATCTTCCTTTTACCCACAGATACACATTCTCACTCTCTTTTTTTTCTGCTTAAGTGATTTCTCCCTGACTGCTTTAAACTCTATGTTATCAGTGAGCATAGCTTTCAGGAAATGTCCTTGCATTTTTCTACCCTGTGCTCTGTCACTGCCCTAGTCCCCTTACCTACTATATTGCTGTGTGCTTATTGCTGTCAGGATGATACTCCAGTGTGGGAGGCTTAGAAAGGGCTTTCATACACTCTACAAACACTTAAGCAGATGCCTTTTTTTATTAAAAAACAAACCAAAAACCAGTAACAATACTGTATATTTTTACACACTGTGCTTGATGCATGGCTGATGCATGCCTGTGTCTTCCCATGTGTACGCAGGAGAGCATTGTGGGGCTGGATGCCGGACGTTTCAGTTCTCAGAAGTACTTAAGTTCTCTTTGACAGTGGAGCACATCTCTCATCAGCATATAATTGCTTCACTGAGTATATTTGCATGAATATTGCTGAACGTCATCTTGCATGTAAGAAAGCTATTAGAATGCAGGGCTGTGGCAGTACTGGTGTAGTTTTTCTTCACTGTCTTGATGAGAGATGGAATTTATTACAGTAACAAAAAAACATGTTCCCTGTTCACTTAGTTTTCAACAGACAGTGCTGTATACAGTGTTGCTTAATTGTGTTGGATCACACCCAATGGTGTTTTCTCTGGGTTAACTGTGCACTGTCTTCAGCACATATGTGCAACTCCCAATGGCTTCTGTAGGCAGTTCATGCTTGGCAACTTCAGTTAACCAGGTTCTAGCCCCAGAGATCTTTTATGTTGACCTGCTGAAGTGTAACAACCTGTAAAGGTGTGTCTGAGGCAGGAAAGGTACCGAGTTGGCTATGTATCCAAAAAAAAAAAAAAAAAAAAAAGAATATCTGGACATTCCCTCTTTTTTGACAGTACCCCATGTCTCTTCTGGAGTTCAAAGCTGACTCAGAGTCTTTAAAGCTTACCTGCTTTCCAGGCAGACTCTCCTCCATTCAGGAGACTCTACCTCTATCAAAGTAGAGCAAAAACGATCTTCCAGGTAGGTCAAGTCTTGTGACTTTTATCAAAGAAACTGTAGACCTGTGTCTGACAGAGACACAGGGGACTCAGTTCTGTAATGTCCCTGAACAATACTACCCTAAGACCAGGAAAGCAGTTTGTGCCAAAGCTCAGTGGGATCAGCAGCCTCTGGAAACCTGGAAATGTGTTAATAGACTAAAAGTGGAGTACTGGGCACCGTACAGTACAGAGCCCATATTTAGCAACTGGTGTAGGATACAAGGTCAAATTCTGGTCTTAGGTTGACATCAGTGCAATCACACAGAGAAAGAGCAAAGCCTATCTTGTGGTCTTGGAGACTGAGCTATCTGAATGACAGGCAGTGACTTAAGAGTTTTCTGCTTATCCTGTTTGTTATATTGAAAATGTTGTTCATATCTGCAGACATCCATTTCAATTGCTGAACTAAATTGTTCGGTATTATGGGCTACAATACTGTAAACCTCTGCCTGATTTTTTTTCTGCCTTATAAATGAGTGGTATTTCAGATATTCATTCTCAGGAAATAGTTCTGCTATAAATAAAATTGCAAAGCTGAGCTGAGCAGGAAAAGGAGTCAAGATTCTGAAGCCAGCGGCTGGTCTGACCTTGTTAATTGTATTTTGGAAAGCAGCAGTTATCTCTGGGTATCCTACTAGTGCCTTCTCTTCTTGGGCTCTCTCTAGCTACTACACCTGTGTTGTTGCCTGTGTTTCTGAAGCAGATACACATGAATGTTTATCTGACACAAGGCTTACCCCAGCGCTTCCTGATAGCGGTGGGAACAGTCATGAATCAAACAGCAGGCTTTCTTTGGCATGTCCAAATTAGAGAATCAGTTGAATGGTTTGGCCCTAAGAAAGAATGTAATAAATCCTAGGAGCATTTTATTTGTTTTTGCATGTGTGATGCAATTTGAAAGCCTCCTTTTCTCTGCAACATCAGGGTCAATTTATATGATGAGGGGAAAGAACAGTCAGTTCAGGCCTATCGACTTAGCAAATCTGGTCATCCAGAATTTCAAGCGTTTGTTGTTTCTTTGTGAGCAACTCCTGTCACTTCAAAGGGGCCATTAGTTGTTGGTTTGCAGATGGTAATAACAACTTTAAAGAAGTTCTGCTGAATTGTAATTTTGCTTCCTGCTGACAGATATCACCAGAGTGAGAACAATCCAGAGCAAAGTGGGTGCTATCGTCATTGTGTTGATGAGAACATTGAAAGGAGAAACCACTATTTGGATCTTGCAGGAATAGAAAACTACACATCAAAGTTTGGGCCAGGTAATTTGGTAATTTATGTTGCAACCTTTTCGTCTTTTCTTTCTTCAGTTGTATGTTCCATATCAGGGGCAGTGAATTGTGAACCTTTTGTGATTTGTGGAAGGAATAGGACTGTGTGAATACTGCAAGATAATTACTGGTGAATGTGGTATCACAATGGAGTGGCTAATGTGCTGCAAGCCTGCTTTGAAGCACTTGTTTGTGTAGCTAGACTTGGAGGTGAGCCTAGGAGAACAATCTTTACATCAAAATTATTAAGTTTAGTCTATGGGTGAGGCGAGGACTGATTTTTGGATGTTGGAGCTTGTTCCCAAGATGATAGCAGCACATGTTTTCTACTCACTACTGACCCAAAAATCAGAGAATGTGGGTTCATACCTCGAATTTTGGCTTCTGTCTCAAATTAAAGGGATTTGGATTTCCTCCCTTTCCCTGTCCTCTGCCAAGGTTTTACTATTCCACTCGCAGTTATTTTGGTGAATTTCAGATAGATGATGACCAAGACAAGGTAATGTAAAGACTTTTATATGCGTGCGCTCGCACATGCTCTTTTATATAGGTATGTATATTTGTGTGTGTATTATTTACTAGTCAGAATTATTAAACGTAATTAAACTAGACAGCTATAATTGTATTCACTTCCTTAGGAAAAATTCACTGTGCCAATAATGCTATCCCTGCCAACTGCATGCTACTAATTAAAAACTTTGAAATACTAGATGAGTAACTCAGCTTGTTATTTCCTAGGATCTCCTCCAGCAGCTCAAAAACATGACCCACCAAGCAGAGTTGTGAATCAGACTAGATCCCGTTCTCATGAACCTGAAACCTTCCATGCTCACCATAGGAAATCCCAGGTGGTGGATCCAAGCCACATCAATCTAGCTGAGAATTCGTATGCCAAGATTGCAGAAATCCAACAGAGGCTCCGGAACCAGGACTCAAACAAGCACTTTGTGAGGTCTCCCAAGGCCCAGGGCAAAAATGTTGCCCCTGTGCATCCTGGAAGGGCAGTAAGAAATAAACCTTTTCAAGGGGTGCCCATACCAGTGGCTTCCCCAAGTGCACGGGTGGGCCAGAATCTTCCTTACCTCCCCTTGCAATCTCAACAGGTTCACAAGAAGCATAAGCAGAGGGCAAAGGAGAATCACCAAATGTGCAAAACCTTCCAGTCTCCAGGGACAGTTGTAGAAAAGGAACATGTGAGAGACCTGCCCACAGTCATTTTATATGAAGGCCAAGTTGGACAAATGATACAAAGACATGAACACCACCACCACCACGAGCACCACCACCACTACCATCACTTCTACCAGACATAGAAGAGATCCCACCAACATCCTCCAAGAATCATCCCATATGAAGGAAATGTGTTCTTGTGATACCAGAACTAAGGCATTACTATGATTAATGTTGTTACTCCATTAATATTCAGCTAGCATATATTTTAGAGGTTATATGGAACTCTTGAAACTTAACCTATTTATATGTTGTGGAACTGCATAGCTTACTTAAACACCTTGTGGATTTTGTTTTTAAAGTGGCTTGTAAACCAGCAAACAGCCATAGCTTTTTGAGCTGTGATTTAATACAGGTCGTCAACGCACTTCTTTACAAGTACTACTTCATTGTAGTAGGAAAGATACTTCAGACACTATTGCAGACATCTAGCTTACCACTCTGCTGTATGTCGGCTGATCGCACACAAGCCTTTTATCAGGGGAGCAATGTTCGAAGGGTTGGACTCCAGAGATACTCAGAATAACAGAAAATACAAACAGCTGCTACCTCTAGTATTATTCAGATTTTATTTTCTTTTTATTGATTGTAATGTGCTACAGGGGAGATTTTAATATACTGCATTCATGTAGCCTGTTTGTGTTCACATCCTTTCAAATTATCTTAATAATTACAAGGAAATACTAGCTATACTTGTCAACAGAGCTACATTTGTACAATGATTTTCTTGGAGATTCTTCACTGACACAAGTACAGTCTGTTATATACTGGGTAATATTTAAATATACTACTTTTATTTTTGGTTTTTCTCTTGCTTACTCTCCATTCTGTTTGGGGTAACCATTTGAAAAGAGGAGGATGTGAAATGGGGTTTTCAAAAGTATCACTAGACTTTAGTGCTTGGGCCATAAGTATCATTCATGGGGGTTTGAGGAGAAGAGGGGTTGTTTGGGAGTATTGTTTTGTTTAAATCCACAGTTCTTTGTTTTGAGAAAGAATTGAGGAAAATATACTTTCTCACTTTAAATGTTGGCA